ATGCTAAATTACAAGAGAGTGAGATTACCCTGAAAACCTATACAGGGGAGAAAATAGTACCCAAGGGAAAGATTAACTGCAAGGTTAACCTTAAGGGCCAGACAAAGCATTTAGATATTCAAATTGTGGAGACACCAGGACCAGCCCTCTTTGGCCGTGATTGGCTTTCTGTTTTAAAGTTGGACTGGGGTGAAATCAAAGCCCTTAAGTTAAGCCAAGCAACAGTCGAGCCCACCCAGGGTCGGGTAAATAAGCTACTGGAACAGTATAAATCTGTTTTTGATGATGATCTAGGTACCCTTAAAGGTCACAAAGCAAATCTCAAGATAAAGGAGAATTCCCAACCGTGTTTTCACAAAGCACGCACGGTTGCTTACTCGGATCGACCAAAGGTAGAAGCTGAGTTAATCCGCCTGGAGAAAGAAGGTATTCTCAGTCCAGTTGAACACAGTGAGTGGGCAACACCTATAGTAGCCGTACCTAAACGTAATGGATCAGTACGCATCTGCGGAGATTTTAAGGTCTCTATCAATCCTGTGTTGATAGCTGAACAGTATCCTCTGCCGAGAATCGAGGATATCTTTGCAAATCTTGCTGGAGGCAAACACTTCAGTAAAATTGATTTGAGACAAGCTTACCATCAGATGGAAGTTACTGAGGAATCAAAGAAGTATTTGACCATAAATACTCCCAAGGGTCTCTACCAGTATAACCGCCTAGTGTTCGGTATAACATCGAGCCCAGCGATCTGGCAACGTGCAATGGATCAGGTGCTACAAGGAATCCCCGGCACGCAATGCATTCTGGATGACATGATCATTACTGGACGCACCGACGACGAACACCTACAAAATCTAGAGAAAGTTCTACAACGACTACAAGAAGCTGGTCTTAGAGCAAACAAAGAAAAGTGTGAATTCTTCCGCGAGCAAGTCCAGTTCTGTGGCCACGTCATCGACAGCCAAAGGTTGCATAAAACAAATGATAAAATTGAAGCTGTAGTAAACACACCTAGGCCCGAAAACGTGTCGCAAGTCCGTTCATTTCTGGGACTAGTTAACTACTATCACCGCTTCTTACCGAATGCATCAACCATACTGCACCCACTACATAAATTACTCGAGAAAGATACCGAATGGAAGTGGTCAAAGGAGTGCGAACGAGCATTCACAGAAGCTAAACGCCTCATAACATCGGATTTAGTTTTAACGCATTACGACCCAACTTTGTCAGTAACACTAGCATGTGATGCATCACCGTATGGCATCGGAGCTGTTCTTTCACACGTCATGCCTGACGGAACAGAACGCCCAGTCGCTTTCGCATCCAGATCGCTTACGCAAACAGAGCGTAAGTATGCCCAGATCGACAGAGAAGCTTTAGCTATAGTCTGGGGYGTTAAGAAATTTCATCTGTACCTATATGGAAGAAGATTTACACTGATCACAGATCACCAACCTCTCACAGCAATCTTCYACCCACAGAAAGGTATACCAGCGATGACCGCATCGAGACTGCAACGTTACGCTTTGTTCTTAGCTGGTTTTGAGTATGATATAAAATACAAGAACACCAAGGAACATTGTAATGCAGATGGACTGTCTCGACTTCCCTTGCAACAGCATGAGAAGAATGAGACAAGTTTCGACTCTTCARATGTATTCCACGCTACACAGTTTAGCCCACTTCCTGTCACCAGCGAAACGGTTGCTAARGAAACCAAGCGTGATCCGATACTGTCCAGAGTCTACGAGTCTATTATGAATGGTTGGTCCCAACGCTCAGAAGGAGATACACCCTACTTTTAACGCAGAACTGAACTTACAGTCCACCAAGGCTGTATTCTCTGGGGGACGAGAGTAGTTATCCCTCATAAGCTACAGGAGAGGATGTTAGAGAAGTTACATGACAGTCACTTAGGAATTGTSAAAATGAAAGCTTTAGCGAGAAGCTATGTGTGGTGGCCATACATCAATCAACAGCTGGAAATGGTAGCTAACTCTTGTTCTGGCTGTCAACAGAATCAAAAGATGCCAAGCAAAGTACCGCTACACCCGTGGGAATGGGCGACTTTCCCATGGCAACGCATACACATTGATTTTGCTGGCCCATTCAAAGATTCTATGTTCTTCGTAGTTGTGGATGCTCACAGCAAATGGCCAGAAGTTATTCCAATGAAGTCAACTACATCATCAAAGACCATCGAAGTCCTKAGAAACCTGTTTGCTCGTTTTGGAATTCCAGAACAACTTGTAAGTGACAACGGTCCGCAGTTTGTGTCAGACGAATTCCAGACCTTCATGAAGTCCAATGGAATAAGACACATCACTTCGGCTCCATACCATCCTGCTACGAATGGATTGGCTGAGAGGTCAGTTCAAACTTTCAAACAAGCTTTGAAATCTATGGAAGGAAACTCTTCACCGCTGAAGGAGAAGTTAGCAAAGTTTCTCATCAATTATAGGAACACTCCTCATTTAACCACAGGAGAGAGTCCAGCGCAAATGATGCTCGGACGTACTCGGACGTACTCGTTTGGACCTAGTCAAACCTAACAGGAACCGGGAAATGTTGAACAAGCAACATGAGCAAAGCATGCAGTCAGCCCTTCATAATGCAACTCCAGCTAGACAAATTGCACTTGGAGATACTGTCATGGCTCGTGATTACAGAGGAGATTACAAGTGGCGTCAAGGCCAAGTTATTGAGAAGACAGGCCCTCTTATGTACAAAGTCCAAGTCTCTCCAAATCTGATTTGGCGCCGACACATTGACCAACTTCTTCCAACAAGAGAGTTCCACAAGACAGTGACATCAGCGAGCATTTCGACACAGAGAAAGCAGTTCCATACCCTGGAGTCCCAGCTCCAATGGAAAACTTGCCGACTGAAGCAAACTCACAGGAAATGAAAGCGGAACAATCCGTTATCATCAACAGTCCTGCTAGGACCCCAACACCTGCGCAAGCAGCAACACCCGTTGAACGACGTTATCCACAGAGGGAGCGCAAAGCACCACAAAAACTTGACTTATGAACTTATAGCTATGTTATTGTGACAGGACAGAAAACCTTGTTGTTATATTGTTATTTTTTATTCAACATGTTATGTCAATGTAGACTGAAAGACAATAGTGGGAAGGAATGTTACGGATTACCTGTGTAACATGCGCACGCATGTAAAGTGAAGCACGTGCGAATAAAACCAAGTCAACGCCATCTTGTTTGTGTTAGTCATTCTAGTAAATACATGACACAAACCTCCCAGTTCCAGTTGTACAAAGGATAAATAAAACTATTCCAAGCTTATGTATAGGGATAATGTTTTTGAATATAGTGCATAAGTTTATCTACTCTTTGTACAAACAGCCCAATTACTGTACAATAAGTAATGATTTTTCTTTTCTAAATTAACATAGTCTGATAGATTAAAATATGACAAACACACAATGTTTTATGATCAAAACTCTTGATGTGCTTAACCATCTACTAATGGTGGCTGAAAGTTGGACAGCATTGCACAAACAAAGAATATCATATCAATAATACCACTTCTGCATAATGTTATTGGTACAAAATCCAAAATATGATAGTTCTTGATCCGCTCCATGGCCCGCTCTACATGTATTCTTAGTGTAACAATACGTCTGGTTTCTAGCAGTTCACTTTCGTCAAACTGTCCTGACTTATTCATGAATGGCGGGATATTTACTTTCACTCCTTTACTGACGAGTAAATCATTGATGTTGAATCCACGGTTTGCCATAATCACATCACCATATTGCAGCCTGTCTAGTAGACCTGACCGTGCAGTTATTTCCTTATCAGAGATATTACCACCGAATAGTGTTGATACGAATGAGATTCCTCACTTAGGTACAATGCCAACCAAAGCTTTCAGTGTATTGGTATTCTTATAAGAAGAAAAAGTAAGCTGCTGAGCCTCAGGGTTGTGTGGTTTCTCAATGTAGATCTCAGTAGCATCAATGATCAATGTTGTGGTTGGATATTTCTTTTTAAAACATTCCGGCATGTGTAGTTTCACAATATCTATTGAAGGAAATACTTCAAGTTCTTTGAATCTATAGAACACAAACCTTAACCAGGTGTTTACAATAGAAGTGTTATATATTCATTATGCTCACGTCAGTCGTTACGCGCATGCGCGCGGAACCATGTGCTCGAGAGAGAACGGCCATGTTTGTCTTGTAAGATTGCTGTAATAAAGTTCTAGTTCACGACCAGAGTTTTAGTATTTAACAAGAAGATACAGCACTTTGAACGACATCAAATCTAACAGCTATATTTTCTTCGAGCAAACCAACTTTCAAAAGACACAACAACATAAAAAATTCATTTTCAATAGACAAAGTTCTGCTAGGTCCAGGTTTGTACTTATANGATTGTTCAGTCGTTGCCATGGAAACCAAAAAAGATGTTATTTTAAGTAAAGTCCTACATTTTACACTAAATGGGTGGCCAGATCACCCCGGGCCAGAATTTTTTCCATACTACTCAAAAAGGTTCGAGCTTACTCAAGAAGATGGCATTTTGCTATGGAACTCCAGAGTGGTTATCCCTTCTTCACTTCGTGCAGTCTTACTTGCTGATCTACACACTGAACATTTTGGAATGGTAAAGATGAAGCAACTAGCTCGCCGTTATCTTTGGTGGCCAAAGCTGGATAAAGAGATTGAGGAGACTGTTAAGCTTTGTTCAGCTTGCCAGGAGTCAGCTAAAGCACCACCAGCTTCTAAATCTGCTTCGTGGTCTTGGCCTGGTGGCCCTTGGAAGCGTTTGCACCTTGACTTCGCAGGTCCATACCTAGGAAAAATGTTTTTAATAATAGTGGATGCTTATTCAAAGTTCATTGATATTGTACCTATGACGAGTGCTACCTCAGCAACCACTATTGCGGCTCTTCGTCATACATTTAGTTATTTCGGACTACCAGAACACTTGGTTACAGATAATGGTACGCAATTCACCAGTGCAGAATTTCAGAAATTTCTTAGAGACAATTTCATTCAACATACCACTACAGCGCCTGATCATCCTGCCACAAATGGGTTGGCGGAACGCTACGTTGGCGATTTCAAGGACAAACTCTCCAAAATTGGCAACACAGGGGAACCATTACAAACCAGGTTGGACCGATATTTGTTAACTTACAGGGCCACACCCACTTCTTTGGGAAAAACTCCTTCTGAATTGCTTATGAACAGACAACCAAGATTAAGACTTAGCGCTCTAAGAAGCAGTCCGAATAAACAGGAAGTAAAGATTTTCCAAGATAACGTTGACAATAAGCCGAGGTATTTGAATGACCAACCAGTTTTTGCGCGAAACTTCGGAAAGGGGGCAAAATGGGTCCCTGGCACCATTATAGGTACTATCAGTCCCCGAAATTATGATATTCAAGTTGGAGATGTAGTTTGGAAACGTCACGAGGAACAGCTTCGCACTCGTTTTATACCTAGCAATCAATTCACAAACCTACAGTCTGTTTCACATCCGGAGATGCGTTTGGAGACCGATTTTCAGGAACATTTGTCAGATATGAGCTCTCCTGTACCCGTTACCTTGACTACTTCACAAGGACCTTCGCAAACGCATGAAGAAGTGAAGGATCTTCCCAAAGACGACTCCATGGACATTGAACCCTCTATTTTAACAGAAGACAGCAGTGCTATCCCTTCAACTGTTTTTCCAGACTCTCCTTACCTTAGGAGATACCCTCAACGGAACAGAAAACCACCCGATAGGTTTTATTGAACTTTGAACATTTATTCCACTTTAACTGTTGATATTTTAGCTTTCTTTTATAGGGGGGCAGTTGTTATATATTCATTATGCTCACGTCAGTCGTTACGCGCATGCGCGCGGAACCATGTGCTCGAGAGAGAACGGCCATGTTTGTCTTGTAAGATTGCTGTAATAAAGTTCTAGTTCACGACCAGAGTTTTAGTATTTAACAAGAAGATACAGCACTTTGAACGACATCAAATCTAACAGCTATATTTTCTTCGAGCAAACCAACTTTCAAAAGACACAACAACATAAAAAATTCATTTTCAATAGACAAAGTTCTGCTAGGTCCAGGTTTGTACTTATAGTTTTTAGGGCTGACCAGATCTGTTGCTGGTTTATTAATGTTCCTGTAGTCCAGATTTGAAGCTGCTTCTCTACCGAGAAAGTCTAAAACCATAGAAAATACAGTATAGTTTTCATAATTAGTGTAAAATTTCAAAAGTTGTCATTATTTTTGACAGTTTCAATACTAAATGACCCACGAGAAGTCAGCAGTTCAAGCTCTTTCCTAGCTTCTAGTTGCTCCTCTAATTGTTTCTCTAGCTCTTCTATTTTGTTTTTTAATTCGGATTCTTTCGCTTACCATTCCTGTTGAAGTCCCAGTAGTTTCTCTTCCATTGTCTTTAGCTGTTCAGTGCACGCCTGGTCAGCTGTCTCAAGTTTCCTATCACTTAAGTGAAGCCATAAATATCTTCGTTACGAGTGGTTTTTTGAGGGAGACTGGTGACTAGAGAATTGCGCTACAWTCAAAGTGTATTTTTAGCTATGGAATAGCGCGGGCAATTACGAAAGCAAAACGACTAAAGAGCTCTCAAAATAAGCTTTAATTTGCTACCAATTTCTTGCACGTAGCTATTTTTTATACTTTGTCATCAAAGAGGAAAGTTGAAGCTCTCMGTCGGGTCTCAGAATCTTTGAAAATCCCTAATTTTCGGCWTCAATACGTTTCTTCACAAATGCATCAAGTCGACTGGATTTATGTTTACTGCCTTTGACATTCCTTTGGTAAGAATCGTATCTTTTCGGTTTTCCTTAAAATATTTTCCTTAGTGTCATTTTTCCAYATTTATGACAGGCTATGTGCACTGACCAAACTACKTCCGAACACTAGCTATGCCAAAACTACACAAGCGCTTTGCCGTCGGAGAGTTTAWGCGCTCTAAGCGAGAACTTGCCCTTAAAGTTGCTAGAGAAAAAGCCAGTGTTCTTTCGGATATAAAAAACCAACAACAGAAAATTCGACGGCTGAAAGAAAAGGTAAGATAATAATATTAATAATAATCAAAATTGTGCTTTGTCAGTAAAACATTCTTATTATATAAGTTACCTGAATACTCAGTGCTCTCGAAACAAAGCCTACATCGGCTTTATTATTGTAATAATCTAAATCTACGTCTTTGATTTGAAACTCAAAATTATAAATTTCGTTATTAAGTTTAATATTTGTGCTGTAAAACGGACAGGTATTGAGAATTGATCGATGTAAATGTTCTCATTTTGGAATTACAACTGTTTAATGAGTCACGAAAGGAGAAGTTAATGTTTGATCACACAATTTAAATGGATTTTTGTTTCGATAGGAGAAAAATACTCAAGAAAATGTTTCAGTTTTGACAGGAATACTTGGAAAAGAAAACAAACTTGTAAGTTTCTGCTTATTTTTTTTTAGAGGGCTTATTTTGTTTTGTTTTTAGAGGATAATTTTTATAATCAGTATCATTACGTGGGCTTCCTGTGGAAGTCCACGTCTTAAAATGCAACTGGCGATTTCGTCGTCGTCGTGAATATTACGCTTCAAATTGGTAGCGMATCGAYAGCGCATGCGTTGCAGTCTCAGTTTCCATGGAGATGTCAAAATAAACCAATCAGCGATTTTTGGTAGCGCCTGCGTTGCAGATGGACTGCAGTCTCAGAATGAAAACAAAATGGCTGACAGACGGCAGCAAAAAGTTGTCTCGTTTCAAATGGTTCTAAAATGTAGCTAAAATGCTCAAAAGAGCTGAAAATCTTACAAAATCAACTGATTACCATCCAAACGACATGGATTGAGGTATATAATTCAAGATTAGCGGATGATTCGTGCAGAAATGACTGGGCATTTTCTACCGCCGACTCGAAGAGCACTACTTCTTCGTCACATAAGTGTTCGATGTCAAACACAAAATCTTCAAAAATAAGAAATCACATGGATATTTAAGGTTCATACTTTGACAGAAAACAATCATTTGATGGAGGAAAGCATATCAAACCTCATCTGAAAAATATTGATGCCATTTTCTAAACTAACGATGTGTTTGAAGTTCGGAAAACTGCATGTGTGAGCTTTACTGAACTCTGCATACATTGTAAATTGCCTGATGAGTGTGGGTCAAACCATGACGAAACAGGTCTGTAGCAATAAATCAATGGATCATATTCAAAGCGTTTAGCTCAGTATTTTATGTACAAAATCTATATTGTGTATGAAGCATTTTAATTCTCTATTGTTTGTTTTGATGATTGTTTAACTTGAAAAACTTAGACAAATCCAAAAATATGAACTGTCATTAGAAGGCTAAGGTACACCTTTATGATGGCACAGAACGCCAGATTTACAAATTAATGAAAAACACCAAATAAAAAAGAACAGAAACACAAGATACAGATATATTATTCAAAGTTATACTGCCAAGACTGTACCGTTTCTATTGTTTATGTGACCTATATGACCTATGAGCTATTTTGAATAATATAGACGCTCTTGAGCGTAAAGTCGAGCTAGTTATTTTGAAAAACTGAGAAAGACATGGTATCCAAAGAATTTACTTAGAATTCAGTTCGGTAAAAAATTATGATGTAATAAATTGATAACATTAACTTAATTCTGTCTTGACTTATTACAAACAAAGACTATATTGTGAAAATGAAACACCATTGTCACAGGAAGCCCACGTAAGCGATCCATGATCGTCTAGTTTTTATCTAAAACACCAACAGAAGACTAGAGTACTATCAACTAGAATTGAAGACAACAGCAAACCAGCCACAACAAACAGGAGGATAAAAGAAACATTTGCAGCAGCATCAATAATACATGGTGCTACAAAGAATAACAAGAGACCTGCATTTGATGGGCTCTTTGACACTCTTCAAAAGAGGTGCATAAATGAGCTAGGGGATTATATCCTTAGAAATGATAAACTAACAAAATACATAGTTAACCAAGCTCAAAGGAAACAAAAAAAAATCAGTTTTATAAAAGTCAAATTAATATTCTTCRAAGCATTGCAACGTATTATAGTGCTGGAGTTATGGGCAAAAGAAAATATCAGGCTACCCGATTAGCATCAGCCATGAAATCTAGTGCAAAGAAAAGGGGAGGGAAGACAGCTATTGATTTTTTACCAGGGTGCCCAATACCTAAGCTTCTAACCTATCAACATCTTGTTAAAGAAATCAACAAAATTGATRTGGGGTCAATTCTTCCTTTGTCAGATTCTCATGCTAATGAGCATGTAAGTGGGTGCTATAGGGATCTTAGAAGTTTTCTCCCAAGGCTAGCCTCCTTTTATTTAAAAACTCAAAACTCTCGCAAGGATGCACTTAAATGGTTTGGGGAGACCGAGGGTACTTTTATTGTTGCCTTAGGGGGGGATGGCTGTCCATTTGGCAAGAATGATACAGCATGTTCTTTCTTAGTTAGTTTTCTGAATACAGGGAAAAGAGTAGCTTCTAGTAGTGACAATTTCTTAATATTTGGGGCCAACTGTGAAGAGTCATCAAAAGTTGTCCATGATTATGTTAATGAACTATGTAAACAGATTGATGACTTAAAAGGTAAGATAATTGAAATTAGTGGTTTGCATGTTTCTTTCAAATTTCAAGAACTCCCTAATGATATGAAGATGCTGGCTATGCTTGGAGGGGAGCTACCYAATTCTGCAACCTATTTTTCATCATTTGCAAATGTAAGTAGAAATGATTGTACTGATTTAAAAGGTAAGTATRGATTAGGATCTGATTGTAAATGGAAGCCATGGGTATACAGTGACAGACTGAAGACTGTAAAGGCTGTTGATGCCTTTAAGAAACCACTGACACAACAGCCTCTGGCAGAGAAAACAAAACGTTCCAAAGTGACTGAATTCATTGCCAAGCAAAAGAGCCGCCAAGAATTTATCCCTCTAATTGRAAAACTTATTGAGACAGCCCATGTGGAACCTCTACACCTTAAAAACAATGCTTGGCAGTACTTTTTTTTTCCCTCCTGAAAGAGGCAGTGGCGAAGACCCCCCTCCCAAGTAAACAAGCACTATTTGACGACTTACCACGTGACTGTTGCTTACTTCGTGTTGTTACTTCTCTTCGGTATGAGGTCACAGCAAAGCGTTTAGCAGGAAAAGTAAAAAAATGGTTTGACGAGACACAGGGTAGAAAGGGGGACATCTCATACCGCTTTACAGGTAAGGAATCAAGACTGTTCTGCCATCATTTTATGAGACTGGTAAAATATCTCAGCTGTGAGAGCGACACTCAAAAGCAAAGACAGACAGTTTTGATTTTAGCCTACATTGGATTAAGGTTAAGAGACTGCTGCTCCATCTTTAACAGGTTTGAAGTGAATGAAACAGACCTAACAAATCTTCAAACTCTGGCACATGAGTACTTTCGAGCTAATGCATTGTTTTTGCCATCATCAATAAACCCCACTATCTGGACCCTTGGCAATGTAGTACCAGTACATACAAGAGAAGTTTATAACACATATAAACAAGGACTTCTGACTGTAACTATGGAAGGTAGGGAGGCGAAGCATATTTTCTTACTCAGGTTAAGTCAAAACACCTCATACCAAAATAGATGGTATGAAGTATTCAAACATGAGTTCATTATGCTGATCTGGTTACCTGAACAAGGGCATGATGCTTGTTCTTACTCACCTAGTAAAGATGTCTATATTCCACCGAGAGTGTTTACTGACAACA